AAAAAAAAAAAAAAAACCCTAATAGAATGACAGAATCAATTCATACCTATCACTATATAAACTCAATGTGAATGGACTGAATGCAAGTACCAAGAGAAAGAGAGTGGCAGACTGGATAAGAAAAGAAGAGCCATTGATAAGCTGCCTTTAAGAGACCCACCTTAGACACAAAGATAAAAACAAATTAAGAGTTAAGGGATGGAAAAGAATATACCATGCCAATGGAAACCAAAAAAGGGCAGGAGTAGTAATACTGATTTCTGATAAAATAGATGTTAAGGTGAAAAACATCATGAGAGATAAGGAGGGACATTATATGATGCTGAAAGGGTCAATTGACAAAGAAGACGTTACAATAATAAATACTTATGGACCCAATGAAAGTGCTCCAAAATATATGAAGCAAATATTAACTGAATTAAAACAGATAATAGACAACTCTGCAATAGTAGCAGAGACTTTAACACGACACTTTCAAAGAGGGACAGGTCAACTGGAAAAAAAAACTCAACAAGGATACTTAAAAAAGGATACTGTTGAAGAACTCAATGGTACAATCAACCAACTTGACCTCATAGACATCCAGAGCATTTCACCCAACAAAAACAAAATTCCCATTCTTTTCAAGTGCACATGGATCCTTCTCCAGAATAGAAAATATGCTAAGACATAATACAAGCCTCAATAAATTCCAAAGCATTGAAATACTGCAAAGCATCTTCTTGGACCACAATGCTATAAAACTAGAAATTAATAATAGGAAGAGCAAGAAAAAAAACATTAAATATATGGAAGCTGAACAACTCACTGCTCAAAAACTTCTGGGTAACAGAACAGATCAAAACTGAAATAAAAAAATTCCTAGAAACAAATGAGAATGAAGATACATCATATCAAAACCTATGGGACACAGTGAAAGCAGTATTCAGAGGATAGTTTATAGCAATAAATGCATACATAAACAAAGAGGAAAAAAACAAAATCAACACTCTAACTCATCAACTCCAACAACTAGAAATAGAACAACAAAAGAATTCTACAGCATCTAGAAGCAAGGAAATAATAAAGATCAGAGCAGAAATAAATGAAACAGAAAAAAAAAAACCCATAGAAGAAATAAACAAAACAAAGAATTGGTTCTTTGAAAAGATTAATAAAATGGATAAACCATTGGCAGAATGGACAAAAGAAGAGAAAGAGAAGATCCAAATCACAAGAATTGTAAACGAAAATGGTGTCATCACAATAGAACCAACTGAAATAAAAAAGATACAGAATGTTATGAAAAACTGTACACCAATAGATTTGAGAACCTAGAAGAGATAGACAAGTTTCTAGAATCACAAGACCTAACTAAACTATCTCACTCAGAGATAGAATACTTGAACAGACCCATAAACAAGGGAAGAAATTGAATACGTCATAAAAAAACTTCCCACAAAGAAAAGCTCTGGCCCTGATGGTTTCACCAGAGAATTCTATCAAATATTCAGAGAAGAGTTGACACCTATGCTACTCAAGCTATTCCAGAACATAGAAAAAGATGGAATACTCCCAAAATCATTTTATGAAGCAAGCACAACACTAATACCAAAACCAGGGAAAGACACCACTAGAAAGGAAAACTACAGACCAATATCCCTCATGAACATAGATGCAAAAATCTTTAACAAAATCCTGGCCAACAGAATCCAACAACATATCAAAATTTAATACACCTGGACCAAGTGGGATTCATACCAGGTTTACAAGGGTGGTTCAACATCAGAAAATCAATGTAATCCACCACATAAACAAAACAAAGGAAAAGAGCCATATGATTATATCAATTGATGGAGAAAAGACATTTTATAAAATCCAACATCCATTCCTGTTTAGAACTCTCAGCAAAATACGGATAGAAGGGAAATTTTTCAACATCATAAAGGGTATATATGCAAAGCCAATGGCCAATATCATTATTAATAGAGAATATTTCCCTTATGAATGGGAACCAGGCAGGGATGCCCTCTATCACCACTTCTATTTAACATTGTATTGGAAGTCCTGGCCAGGGCAATAAGGAATGAAAGAGAAATAAAAGGCATACAATTTGGCAAAGAGGAATTAAAACTATCTCTATTTGCAGATGATATGATCCTATACATAGAAAACCCAAGGGACTCAATAAAAAACTACTGGAACTAATAGAGAGGTTCAGCAAAGTGGCAGAATACAAGATCAACATACAAAAATCAGTTGGATTTCTCTACACCAGCAAGGAGTCCTCTGATAAAGAAATAAGGGAAACAATACCATTCACTATAGCTATGAAAACGATAAAATATCTGGGAATAAACCTCACCAGAGACACACAAGACTTATACAGAGAAAACTATAAAACACTGCTACAAGAGACAAGGGCACTACATAAATGGAATAACCTACCTTGTTCATGGATAGGTAGACTAAACATTGTGAAAATGTCAATACTACCTAAAGCAATCTGTACATTTAATGCAATTCCGATCCAGATTTCAACAAAATTTTTCAAGGACATGGAAAAACTAATTACTAATTTCATATGGAAAGGAAAGGGACCTAAGCAGAGCACTTCAAGAAGAAAAACAAAGTGGGAGGTCTCACACTCCAGGATCTTAAGAACTACTATATAGCCAAAGTAGTCAAAACAGCATGGTATTGGTACAATGATAGACAGATAAACCAATGGAACAGAATCAAAAGTGCAGATATAGACCCATCCATCTATGGATCCATCTACGGATCTTTGACAAAGGTCCAAAACCCATTAAATGGGGAAGAGACAGCCTCTTTAACACATGGTGCTGGAAAAACTAGATAGACACCTGTAGAAAGATGAAAG